TTCCACCCAAGTCGTCTTGCTTTGCCACCCCAGTGCAAAACAGCCCAAAAGTCTGCCCACAGATATTGGCTGCCGACAATCACGGAGGCGACACATTCTTGGGGCGAACTCAGCTTGACAGGGGGAAAAGGGCTCACTGAGGCGCCACCACCACCAATGGGATGCCCTCTCACTACTGGGGGCGCCCTGCCGCAACTGTGGCGCCCTACTTTTTTATAAATTTAGCTTGAATGTTTGAATGGACGGATTGACAGAGCCGGAGCCCACGCTAAGCAGAGCTTGTTGCGTAGACCCCGACCCCTACCGTCTGATCGCGCAATTCCGGGTAACGGAATAATTTAGATGCCTAAGTTTAACGTGCCCTTCAAAGCCGGACACAACCTGTCCCACTCAACTGACTTCAACTGGCTGCGGCTGCTCCCACCAACCGCAGACCATCCCCGTCAGGAGTCTCAAATATCGAGCACCGGAGCGACTCGAACCCGGGCTCTCACTACCGGGAGTCCGGTGCTCTACCAACTGAGCTATGGGACTCTCTAATTCGATTGGGACACACTACCGGCAATGGGGCGCCCTACCAGCACTTGGGCGCCTACCACGACTGAAGAGCCCTATCAACATTCGGGCGCCCAGACACGATTGGGGCGCCACACCACTACTGGGGCGCCAACTGCACCTTTGGGAGCCCTATCAGTATCGGCCGCAAAATTAAATTTGTCATTTGGCTATGAGACAGGCCGTGTGATCAACAATGGATTTTCAAACGCACGTGCACGCATTGCTTCTGACGAGGGTATTTCCAAGAGAAAAATCTGGCGGGCGGCGGTTTAACCCGCGCCCCACTGGGGGTCCTGGATTTCCACGCCCTGCTGGGGAGGGGGGGGGGGGGCGGGGATTTGAACACCCCCTTCTAAGTCGGCTCCTGGGCCAAGTAGCGACACGCGGTAAGCGGCATCCGAAAGGACGTCAAAAACCATGACGAAAATACCCACTTGTTATTTTTTTAGGTCAGGTCAAAGGTCAGGTCACCAAAGGTCATCAAAGGTCAAATTTTGTTATTTCAACATTTTTCGAAACTGCCGACGGACAACTCGGGAACCAATAGAGCTACAGCGCCGCGGAAAAGCGCAATCGATAGCTCTTTTACAGGGCTTTCTGAATAATGTTCTCAGGTTTGACCTCAGGTCAACGGTTTAGCCTCCAGAGTGCAAAAACTTCGTTTTCTTCAATAACTTTTGACTCAAGAGAGACACGACAGTATTTTTGCCAGCATGGTGTTCCTCTCGTCTAGACGCGTCGAATGAACTATAATTTGACCTTGAAAGGTCAACTTGAAAATTTGACTACAGGTCAAGGTAATGACCTGACCGGAAAAGGTCGTGCTGCATATCAGTCGATCCGCAACGTCGAGCCGAACACATCTAAGGCGTTTTCATCGCTCTAGCTTGCCTCTATCAGAAGTTATTAGCGAAAAACTGTTAGATACCATTCGTGACCTGATATGACCTCGGGGGCATAACGAGGGGTCACGGGTGCCATTTTCTGGTTCAGCGTGTCATGTTAACTCGTAATTTAGTGTTTGAAAATGTTTAGAATGGCGTTCGTCTAAAAGAGGCGCTTTTCAATTTTCTCCCATTGACTTATACCTAATGGAGAGGTCGAAAAATTGACCTGACCTTAGGTCATCGATATCGAAATTTCAAGATAAAGTGACCTCGAGTGACGCCGGCTGCTTGGTATGGGAAGGTGTTTATCATGGACGGATCGGGGGGGGGGGGGGGGGGATTTGAGGGCCATCGGCATAAGCAGTAAAAGTTCTCTGACGAAAGGGGGTTGCACCATGCACAGCCGACTTTTGGCTTAATTCTTTCCATGCATCGCCCGAAAGGGCTATGTTAGAAAAAAAAACTATGCCAACAAAGGCCTCCAGACACTTTCCCGAAACGTTAGTCCTTACGTACTACCGTCACAAAGAAAAGATTCTGAGACTCGATCGCGACGCCCCCCCCCCCATCGAAATGCTGCGCACAGCAGTATTTCGGTGGGGGGGGGGGGGGGGGCGCCAACACAAGAGACAGGGGCGCCACCACTGCCTGGCCACCCCAGTCCAATTGTCTTAAAATAGGCCCTGGATTGTAAATGTTGGTTTTCAATAAGATAATATTTTACATCCTAATGTACAGACAGATTAATTAATCACCTACATTTACAGCGTCAATTTCATGCCTTTTACAACTGCAATGAATTGACAAAAAACGCATTTCACATTGATCAGTAAAAACTTTATTCATATTGACATGGGTAAAAAACCAAGCGCTCACTTCACAAGATTGTATACCTTCCACTCTTCTCTAATATTGAAAACAAACGTTACTCTAGCTTCTTATATGACATAGATTGAAGTAGGTGTTCTTGGTTTGATATGAATCCAACTCAGAACCAGACACAAGGATGGAACACAGTGATCTTGAGTCGGCTTGGTTTATTATCTTGGTCAGGGAATCAGAGGCGGCGGAAGGTATTTTGGGATGGGGGGGCACACCTGATCCTTCCCGGAACCTAGGGTACCCCCAAATCTAGTTTTCTCACCGGTTTTAGGCCACTTATTTTTCACCCCTTGGCCTTTACAACGAAAAATCGAAACGAAAACATTTGCAAAAAGTGGGATATCCCGTCTCATCTGAGTCAAGGAACTACCTTTTTGGTAACTTGGAATAAACGTTTAAAGCTTTCACACATGAGCTGTCAAATCAGGTATAGAGGGGGATTTTTTTACTTAAATAGGTATTGTCTTCCATTCAGCTTTTCTTTGAGGCCCACGGCCGCCAATATAGGGAGGACAAGCTGCCCCGACGGTTCCTGGCCCTATGAAACTTTGTGGGGGCAGCGCCTGCGCCCCCCACGGCCCCAGAGTTGTGGGGGCAGGCTACCCCCATGCTGCCCCCCGGCTCACGAGTCTATGCCGGCTGGCGTCTGGCAGAGTCGCGGGGAAAGGCCTGTGGCACGCTCAGACGCGCTTCTGTGACGTCCGCATGCCGGGCCACTCGCGTTCCGTCCTACTCTTCCGGTTACCGGTAGCTCGTAGATAGCTGCTTGATTTCTGAGCATTATGTGTGGAGGGCGTTTGGTGGAAATGTATGATATTTAGAGAATGAATATGTGCTTACATGTTGTCACAGTCTTCTGCGTTAGAACGCTCCATAATGAAGGTTGTTTCTGGTTAACATTTCGAAAAGGTAATAAATCTATGAAATTATGTTGGTAGATTTCCGATTTCGATTCCTCCGGTTGGAGGGTCTCAAATACCTACATTACGAGCCCTCCCCCCGCCGAAAAGTTGGAGGGGCTCAGCCCCCGCTAGCCCCTCCAGCCGGTTCCCGGGAACCGCCCCTCTGGTTCCCGCGCCACTGCGGCAAGTCCAGTTCAAATACGTGTAGCACGCTGTGGCTGTCGCCGTGACTGTTGTTCGCGTTGAACAACTTGCTTCCTTTAAACCAATGACGTCATTAAAGTTAGCCAATTATTGGCTATTGCAAACCTTTTTGGTTGGTAACACTCGCACTGCAAAATGCTAGCCAATGTGATCAAAATATGTACGACGACATTGACAACAATATCAATCCATTCCAAATTACTCGCTCTATTACCTAACTTAAAAAGGTACTCAGCCAAACTGGCATATGTTCATGACGTAGTATGGAAGTATTGTGGTACTTCGTCGATAACAATTTGGGGGGGGGGGCAAAAAGATATGTTTGCACCCCCACCCTGGAAGATGGGGGGGGGGCGCCGTGCCCCCGCTGCCCCCCCGCTTCCGCCGCCACTGCAGGGAATATGTACATTTTTAGTTCTTGATATTCTGTCTTGGTTTTTTCACTTCTTTCAAGCATGTAAAATTGTTAAAGGAGCTTAAATATGGAAATTAAACGGCATATGCTAAAATAAATATCACACTTGGGCCGGAATGTTTCATTCAGGACCTCGGGCTTTGTTGAATTTTCCGCCCTCGACCTTCGGTCTCGTGCGGAAAACTCAACAAATCCCTCGGTCCTGAATGAAACATTTTACCGGCCCCGTGTGATATTATATAATCTCACCTAAAATATATCACTAATTCATGTTCGACACATGCTTATGTTGTTACAAATATTCACTCATTATATTTTCAATTTATTTGACTTTTATGCATGACGAATATTTACTTCTCAAAAATAGGTGCTATCTCCAAAATGAAAATTTTTCAGATTTCGGGGACCACACCATCGGATTCCTCACAAAATTTTGGTTCAGAAAACATTAAAATTGGAGATGGGTATTTTCAAAAGTTATTTACCGTCTTTTGGGGCAATGTGCTTGCATTGCAATAAACATCTAATAATTTGCATGTGTGTAGGGTAACTATCATTCGGTGTAATTTGCTACGAAACAGATTAGAGATGTCAATCGGATACCAACTTTTTGGTATACCGATACCAAACCGATACCAACTTGGTATTTGGTATTTCAATCGTAATGTGTTTGGTATTTTGTTGGTATCATAAGCCCTTACTAATGTGTAAGAGGCTAAGAAATCGGTAAAAAGTTGGTATTTCCCCTCAGTTTCCCAAGTTGGTTTGGTTTCGGTATTTTCCCATGGTTTTGGTTGGTATTTGGTTTGGTATCGGTATTCCGATTTTCCGTAATTGACATCACTAAAACAGATCCTTTGCTGGGGATCACAAAAGTCACCCCAACCCAACTCTTTTTGACGAACCAATCGGCCTGCATTTATCCGCCCCTGCTTACCGTAAATCATAAAAGTGTGCCAGGAACGACAATAGGACTGAACACGACTCCCTAAACAGAGGCTAAACCGCAAAGTCACCGTGGCCCATCTACCAGTGTCTCATTTTTCAATGTTTTGACTCTCGTCCTCCCACTTTGATGGATTCTATGGAAATCCGAACAGTGGGAGGTCTTTTGCCAGTGAATGACACCGGTCGGGCCGAGCGGTTATCCTCAGTTCTTTTCAGACGGCTCTGTCAGTCGCTATCCGAAGCACGCCCGTCCACCGATACCTGATCTGCCATAGTCCAAGTCTAAAAGCGTGCGGTAGTCTCCGCCTACCCTCAGCTTCTTCTGTGGCGCTGGTATCTTCGGTCGTCTCCGGCTGGTGAACCCGTCTCTGGCATTGTCTCGGAGCTCACAGGTCAAGACAATCGACTTTCCGACTCTGCATGTGGGGTCTCAGCCGTGTGGTGAATAGAAAATCAACCACATCGCGTTCCCGATTGCGATCATCAGGTTGAGCTGTCAGTCTTCAGTCGTCAGTCGTCAGCGGTCACTCGTCAGCCTTCAGTCGTCAGTCTTCAGTCGTCAGTCGTCGATCATCAGTCATCAATCGTCCGTCACCAGAAGTCGATCGTTTCTCCTCACTCTTCAATCATCAGAAAATTGACTCATCTTGAAATTGAAACGGCCGCTCGTCCCACCACATACTTCTTCTCTGCGCTCCCGACGAGCACGTCAGGGGCCTCTGTGACCAGGCGGCGAGCTCCCAGTGACCTGCCGTTACCCGCTGACCTGCCGCTCCTGGTGACCTGACACGATGAGGATCACCACACCTCTGCTACTGCTGTTCGTGTGTCTGAACTCAGTCAGTGGGTACGGCCTCAACTTCGTCCGCTTCGTGACCAACTTCTTCATACACCCGGCGCTGCTGGACGACTGGGAGGTGAGAGACAAGGAGAGAGAGAGCGGGGAGGGAGAGAGAGAGAGAGAGAGAGAGAGAGAGAGAGAGAGAGAGAGAGAGAGAGAGAGAGAGAGAGAGAGAGAGAGAGAGAGAGAGAGAGAGAGAGAGAGAGAGAGAGAGAGAGAGAGAGAGAGAGAGAGAGAGAAAGAGACAGAGAGAAGGGGTGAACTCATTGGCCTCGGATATCGGCAGTTATTAGTTCTTGGTTTTGTTTGAAAAGTTGATTTATGAGACAGAAACATTTTGCCCATTACGTTGGTCAAAAATATTTATTGATGTTTGCCTGATTAAAGTTGTTTTCTCTCCTATCAAAGACAGTTGATTCAAAACAAACATTTACATCCAGCTCTCACGTGTCAGCCCGTTTTTTTTTTTTTTTTACCAGCTCGCCCGTATTATAGGGATTGGGGGTCGAACGAAAAATCATCTCGATTTTTCGCGAATAACTCGCTAATCGTGACGAAACGTTCAGTACCCTCGTGGTAATCAATCTTACACCTCCGCTGAAGATTTCATGTGACCCGAATGATCGTTGACCTGTGACCTATACTTTCCGAGACCATGTTTGGCTGGAATCGATTCCGCGTATGTTGGCTCTTATTAGCCGCGCGTTTGCAGTCTTTTCGTGGTTTCAAGCGTTCAAACGTGTGATATACCTAATGTTGCCCCTATGCATCAGGGTGGGTATCAAGGTCCCCTGAAGGTCTGGTCAGGTCATTGACCTTTGATGACCTCGGTCCACTTTGTCAAGTTTTACATGTTTCTAGGATAGTTTTTGGAGCTAAATTCCAATTTAGCAGCCATTTGAACATTTACGAAGTCGTTTTGGTGCCTTCGTAACATGTTAGGAAGCTGTCAGAAGCGGTTAGACACCTACTAGAATACCCGTCACGACCCCTACTGGTTGACCTGACCTGACCTGACCCGACCTGGTCTAAATGCATGAAGACATCATCTGTGATCAAAACTAACATTATAATCGTGATCAACAACCCGAAAAACCCCATAGCAGCCACACTACGACGTTCTAACAGGTCCCAATTTTCCCGACTTTTGGGTCATTGACCTGACCTGGAAGTTCAACCAATGATCTAGGACCTTAAAATTGGGTATCATCGGCTTCCTCTCGTCATGGGCGACACGCTTTTTTTCTTCCGCGGAGCTCTAGCTCGATCAGGGACGAAACGGAAAGGGGGATGCAACGGATCTCCTTCTTATACATACGTTCGCGGCTGGCAAAACACCAATATGGGCGGGGTTTAGTGCCACGAGTTCTTGATATGAAGTATGAGGCAGGTGCTCATTTGACCAGCACGGATATGTATCGCTCCACTAACGTCTTCCCGGCGACCCGGACTACCTTGTTCTGGTGCTCATCAGCTCATAAATTCGCCGCCGCTGTTATTGGGTTCATAGGAGTTATGTTGGCCGATTAGCGAGAGCCGGGCGCAAACTGTCTTTCGTCATGCTTCGTTTGAAAAAGTGTGGCACTAAGCGGTAAATTATGCTCATTTATTCAGGCATTGAACGCACCAATGGGGCACGCTTGTTCTTTGCATCGTATTCGGTATGATAGGTAATACAAATTCGTCAGATCATTTTAACTGAATTGCATTGTTGGTACACATAACATATTTATTATTATACCTAATATGATACATAATTTGTAATCATACCTATTCACACTTTATTTTTCTTATTCGGGTACCCGCTCGCGCCTACCAGCGCTAATTTTGACATACATATAAACAGCATAACTATAGGTAGATAGAAATGTTTTCAGTGCTAAAAATATTATAATGCCCGCTCTTTTCTCTCTCCCCTCCCCCCCTCTCTCTCTCCCTCTCTCTATTTTTCTCTTTCTCTCTCCTCTCTCCACCACGTCCACGATTTTACATTATTTGCATTAAAATGTTTTTGAGTCGGTGGCACCACCCCAAAATTTGAACAATTCCAACTCCATATATATTTGCATCACGATGTTTGTCAATAAGAGTATGCAGGTCATTGTTGTTTCTGTGCTGCTATATGACAAACAAGGTCAGTAAATTCACATTGCCCTGTATCACCACAAAGACATGTCTCAAGTCCCGCCGATAGGGAGTCACTGAGCTCACGACCACAGGCGTGTCTCCAGTCAAAAGAGTGACAATTTACATACGATCACCCTTCTGATCGAGACACAGTACACAGTCCACCCGTTACTGCATAGGAAACGAGTTTCTATAAAACCCGAGCCCCACATATGACACGGGTGACGATTGAGCGGTGACTGTTACTGTGTGGTCGGTGCTGCGAGGCGGTCTCTGTGCCATATTAGGCTCATTTTAGTGTTGCGTGACTGCATTGCGAAGACCTACATTATAGTGTTGTAAAAACGGGGTGCTGAAACACAGTTTTCAAAATTTAATCCAAAACCACAAGCATCTTCGATCTGAGTTATCTTCGATAACTTGAATTACTGGTTAGAATGTCTTGATCAGTGGCAAATACGTTCTCTTGATAGCAACTTATCTGCTTTTCACCCGCCTTCAATCCGCAAAAACCAGTATTCATCTGAAGCACTGAACCACTTCCAGTCGCCATGCGACTTATTTCGCTCTTGTGGCTGCTGATATGCGCCTGGCCAGTGACTGCGATTCTAAACTTCGAGCCGTATCCGCTTTCTTATTTCATCGAAGTTCCAGCACTGCAGCATATCAAGGTAAGGATGTTACACACATCTTGTAAGAAGCAGATATTCTTGCATTGTTGCGCGCAGTCGCAATACAATCGAGATTTTTTTTCAGCAGAACTCCATATTATTATCATTTTGGTTCAACCATTACACGTATGGGCCTTTTCGCAGCAGCTGACGATACGTGAGATCACGGGTGAGGTTGGTCGAACTCCCCAACCCTTTGACCTCTGAATGAGGTAGAGGTTGGCGGGAAAAGAGCGCGCTGCTCACGGCGAGACAAAGCCGATGCATCTAAACTTAACCCGCGCCCCATGGGGGGGGGGGGGGCTATTCATAGCCCCTGCCGTTTTTCTGCAATAACTTCAAAGCGGCTTAACATTTCGCCGCCAAACTTTCAGTACCTTCGGTTGCATCAATTTGACACCTTGTGTCAAAATATGAACTTCCTAGCTACCATAGGTCAGCTGGAAATGACGTCAGAATGACGTCATGTTCGGCCGATTTCGACACATGACATTGAACCACCGCAATCGCTCCCAAGAGCTCAGTTTTTAGGTTAGATCCAATTTCTTTGTATGAGAGGACTCAAAATAGACTGTGCTATCAAACTTTTATCTCGGACTTTCCAAATATTGACAATTTTGAAAATTATAGATAATAAAGTTCAAAATTTAAATTTTTATATTTTTTTCAAAAACTTTTGACTTTTCGAAAAAAAACGGTATATATGTGATACAACACATGCTTATGACTTACTCTAGCAAGTTTTATCTAAATATCTTCAAAAATGGCCAAGTTATACGCATTATTGCTAAAAAATTCACAATTATTAATTTTTCAAATCAATTTTTCAGCAAGTATTTGACATTGCACACCAATATGAATAGCACCATCGTGTTCCTGAGCTCAAACGGCATCCACTAAACACCTTTGTTGTTGAAAAAATCTGACTTCAAAATTTGCCTTTTTTTACCTGTGAGTGAACTTATCTAAGCTAAATTCAACTCAAAATGACCTCAAATAACACAAAAGACATCAAATTCGAAATCTATGGCCTAAAAGGACCATAAAACATGTGTCACGTGACCGACGCATGATACAATATTTCCGTGACCTGTGATGACCTGACCCTGACCTGAAAATTTACGTAAAGATTTGGTACCCACAGGATAGCTAAAGCAGCTGTTCACGAGTGTGAAAACAAAAAAATTAACCTTATCTGACTTGTAAGACGGCGGCCAGAGCCCAAACTGTGAACAAACCAAAATGCTAATAATTTTTACTTTGACCTGACCTGTGACGTCATCGGTGACCTCGAGGTCATTGAAATTAGGTTTCTTTCGACAGTTTTTCCGGGGCTATCAGAGGCCGTTTGAATTTTGGCGATCCGCCGAGTAGTTTCGGAGTTTGGAGGGAGGCTATGGAGAGCCCCCCCCCCCGTAGGGCGCGTTATACGCAGACCCCAGTGGGGCGCGGGTTAAGGTCATAAGTCATTTGCTAACCCGACAGGCGACAAGTCAGTTCAATGACGTATAACTCATGCAAATTGTGACTTGATATTGCAACTAGAGTAGACTTTTTTAAAGTAATATTTATGATAAACGGATAGCTAAGAAAGATAGCAAGAACGATAAGTTATGAAGTAACGTAGGCACCAGTTACTAAGCCTGGGGCTGGCACCATAAGCAATTTTCAGTGGTACTTACAAAAACACATTTACCATTGTATGAATCGTGACCAAAACTATATGTATTATATACCTCGACTTATTCCTTCGACTTACTCACACAAGAAGACCGGCATACCTCCTGCCTAGGCTCAGGTAGTTACTGCATGCGCTATGATATTAAAAGTTGTGTTATTAGACCGCGACTCTGTGCTCTGCAATCAGCCCTGACCCAGCCTCCTATCTCAGACCCGGCTCGTATAATCCCGCTGAGGATATGTATCGGCTGGTGTCAGTCATATATCGCTCTGCACCGGTCCGTGTGCAGTCTGGGCCATCCGTATCGGCCGAATTATCGGCCCCCTGACCAGCACGGAGCGTCCTGTGCAGTGCTGTTGAGCCCAGCCACCGACCAGTACCCTGCCGCGGCTCCTGAGAGAGGGGTGTGCTGAGTGGTCATCAGACGCGGAACAGTGAACAGTGAACAAAGTGAGGTGGCGTAGAGGTTTATCACGAACGTCCGAATTTCGGGTGGAGCTTGTGGAAATCGGCAGCCACAGCATTCTCAGTGTAGTGCGTCAACAATATAAAAAGTCTTCACCCAGTATGCACATTGCCCCAATAGACGGTAAATAA